GATTTCGGCATTCTTTATATATCTGTAATCCTTGTCACGACCACTACAACTTTCTTAATAGATATCAGATTTATCAAATATTTATTTTTGACGCTCATTTTTATTCTTAATTAATTAACTCCTAGTAATTAAGCATAAAACACATAAAACACATAGAATTCACATAATTCCTTTTTCATTTCTTCAAAATGAGTTACAAAGGTTAACCTAGACTATCACCTTAATATTAATGCCTAGGCTAGAAACACGAGTGTTACAATTCTCTCCCCCTTAGGATGATTCCGTCCCCGGAATCACATATCACCAAACAACTGCGGATAGCGACTCATCATGTCACTCTCCGTTTCCCAGGTGAGATTTGGTCCATTCGTATGTTTCCAGTGCACTAGAACTAAATCAACCATCTTGCGCCGCAACTTCATAGTCTTACGGTCAACGATTGCCTCAGGTTCTTCGATCAACCTCTTGTTTTCATCCAACCTTAACTCAGAAATCGGAATTATGTCGGGCACATCTCCCGTGAACTTTCTCAAATAACACACATGAAATGTGTTATGAATTCCCTCCGGTTCTTCCGGTAATTCTAGCTTGTAAGCTTGATTCCCGATCCTCTGAAGAGCTTTAAATGGTCCAATAAACCTCCAAGTAAACACTCTCTAAACGCTTCCGACAACATACTAACTCATGTTAATATATTAACCAAAATACCCTCATGAATTCTATTTCTAGAATTTATTATCTCAAATCATTCCTTATATGAAAATATGAATATAGGAGAAAACTGTGTGCGATTTCGAACCCATATGCAAAAGTTATGAAGATTTTAAGAATTTCCCAAAACTGTCAAAATCAATCAGGACGGTTTTTTTTCCCAGAAATGGGATGATTTTAGTCAGGTTCAAACTCGTTTTTCCACACTTTCAATGAATTCATTTCACTTTAAAATTTGGATCTACACTTCATAAACCTCTATAGGCTCTTAACCATATTTATAGGATGTTTTATCATGTCAAAACATTTAACTTAATTTATTAAGTCCTCATTTTACAATATAAGCTCATAATGCTCAAAATTACATAATTAGAAGGATTAAGAGATTAAGTTTCTTACCATTGCATTCCAACCATTATGACTTATTACAAATTCATTCAAAATATCATTGGATGTTTTCAAGTGCATAAAACATGTAGCAACTCAATCCAATTCCATACCAAGCTCTTAACAATAAAGGGATTGTCCAATTCCATAGTTAATTCCCAAAATGCCCTTTTTGCTAAAAAAATTTATGGATTTACAACTAATCAAGTGACACTTTGTACCATTTGTATAGGTTCTCACACATTATTAGAAGGTGCTCTATCATCCAACAACACTTCACTTAATTCATTAAGTGCTCATTGAACCCCTTTAAGAACATGATGATCTTAAAGTTTTAAATGAAGGGTTAACTAGTCTTTTTTGCAATTAAACATTCTAAAACTCACATATCTTTTTCCAAACCATTGAAAACTTATATGAATGTTGTTAAGTATATAAAACTACAAACAATCTCATTGTAAGTACTTAATTTAACTATGGAATCCTCAGTTTCATTCAATGTTCCCAAATTGCCCTTTGGGTAAAACAATCATTAGAGCTAGAACTTCACTAGCATTCCTGCATGTTTATGTTCCAGTATCATCTCATCTCTAGAGTTTTAATTCATGTTCATGAATGTCATATACTACTTAGATGTCAGTCATCATGTAGTTATCCATAGATTTCCCAAAAACCACCTAAAATCCAGGTTTATGCAACATTCTACCATCATAGATGTATTTGAGCGTTCCAATTGGATTTATTTTCATCAAAAATCATCTAGGTCATTGAATATAACCCAAATTAATATATAAACAAGAAATCCTCAAATTAGATTTCTAAGGTTCCTGGAAATTTTACCTAAATCATCAAATCCATCAATGGGATGATCGGAATGAGATTGGAGCCATGGAAACCACTCAAGGAGGTTAGAAAACCAAACCTTAATCATCAATTAATGCTAAAATTGATATTGGGGTTCAACCCCAATGATGAACTAGAAAAATAGAGTTAGAGAAGAAGGAACTATACCTTATTAACCTTTGTTTGCTTCCCTTCTTGTTTGGATGCTTCAAAACTCCGCTTGAATCAAACTTTAGAAGCTCATGAGAACAAATATCGCCATTAGAAGAGGTGGTATGTCTTATTCACATTTTTCTCCTCCAGAGGGAAATAGATGCATTTTTATTTCCTACAAATTTACTATTTGGTCCCCAAGTTTGCCTATTTTGCCAATTCCACCATAAATTCATATTTTTGCATCTTTATTATATTAACTAGGTATAAGACTCATGTATTATCTGGGTTAATTAAAAAAACTAAATATTAAAGTCTAAATATTTAAAAACTTTGGATTTATAAAAAATAATAATAATAATAATGAATTATTAAAACTGATTTTTTTTTATATTTTAAATTTAAATAAATAAACAAAATAAACTAATGAGCTTTAATTTGGGAATTTTGAAATAAGAAAGTAAGTCTACTAATGAAACTGATATTCATTTATTACTACATTTATTGTAATTATTACATTAAAGTATTATGTGGAATTCATTAAAATAGAAAACCCCATGAAATAACATGTGGAAAAGAAATTAATTAAAAAAACCACAAAATAACATTTGGCAATTGAATGAGAGTGTGACATGTGGCAAAAAAAACATTTATTTATTAGAGTGGATTGGCATATTTATCCCATTAACATTCATATTTATTTTTAAATTAAATTTTAGGATGTTACAATATATGCTTAGAAAGCTCTGGATGTGTAGATTCCAATGAAAAAAACAGAAAATCTTTTGGAGATTTGTGGAGAAAGTTATGACGTTATTGATACAGGTTGTTTAGTGTACAAAAAAATTTTAATGGTCTAAAAAAAATTAACCAACTTCAATGGGAAGTCCGGAACGAACCAAATTCAAAAAAATCATGTATTATATATACCTAGAAATCTCTTGATGTATACATTCCAATGGAAAAAAATAGCAAGAATTTTGGAGTTTTTTGAGGGAGTTAAAATTTTTTTGCCACAGGTTCACCGGTACACCATACCAGGTTGATGATAGATAACAGAGTTTTACTTTAATTTGGCTAACGGAGCAAAATGGAACAACTTGAGACAATGAAGGATAAAACACATTCTGATGTTATGAGATTGGCAATAGCAAACTCTACTGACAATGTTCTTGTTGAGTCTATAAAAAAAGTTTTAGTATTTTTTTTGTAGAAGAAACGAAACATCTTGATTCGTTTATTTCTTTTTTTTTAAAAAATAATATAATGTTTTAATATGTATGTAAGTTTTTTCTTTAAAAATATATATAAATAAAATATATTGTTTTATATCAAGGAAGTACCTCATAGATATTTGTGTTAACTATGTTTTGTAATTTCTTGATTTTAATTATGTCGTAGAACTATTTTCAAGATTAATATATCCATATTTGTGTTCATACGGGTCTATCACCTAGTAAAGCAATCCCGAAAACCCCCTCATTATCTTTATCCTTAGTTTATGGCTTTTATATATATATATATATATATATATATATATATATATATATATATATTTCTATCTTTTAGTTCTTCCATCTTCTTATCAACATATTTTTGCAATTCACATACATTAATGAAGCCCTTCCAAGCATAAGTTTTCAATTTTTACCATAATTGTCTAATTTTGACATTCTTGTCAGATACTTTAAATCTTACTAGTTATTCTTACTCATTGTGATGCTTGTAACGTAATATATAAGTCAATAATCATCATCATCATTACTATTCTTGTATCTTTTGTATTCATACTTATTATCAAGCTCGTATCGTAATATATGTCAAAATAATAACTATACAACATCATCAATACTATTCTTGTATCTTTTGTATCCATACTCATTATTATGCATGTATTGTAGTATATATGTCAAAATAATAACTATACATCGTCATCATTACTATTCTTGTAGCTTTTGTATTCATACTCATTATTATGCTCGTATCGTAATATATATGTCAAAATAATACTTATACATCATCATTACTATTCTTGTATCTTTTGTCCAAGACTATGCTCATTCAAGTTTTATCCATAATGATTTTCAACAACAGCTAAAACCCATCAAACACTAACTAGCAAGAATTTCCCATAAAGAAAGATGTAATTCATTAATTACAAAATTAATATATGCATCACTTTCTTAAATGGAAAAATCATCTCCTCAAATTGGTTTGTCAAATATGATATGCATATCATTAGATGACATATAACTTTTTATGTAATGTAACTTCTATATTACCTGATTAATATATATATAGGTTAAGCTATATGTTTCTCTAAAAGCATTTATGTACATATATACATACCCTATACTATGTAAATAGAATTTACTTTAATAAATCAGACACGTCTTTTCTAGACCTGACTGGAACTGGAGATGCAGAAAGACCATTTTGCCCTTTTGAAAGACTCGTTATATCCTCTTTCTTACTCAAACCCTCACCTTTTCCAGATGATGCCCCAACTATCTGCACCACTAAACTTCCACCTACATAATTATATTTTTACCCCAAGTTTTAATTTTGATCATGTTTTATATAAAATGTTAAAATAAAAATAAAAATAATAATAAAATAAAAGCTTACAAAGAACAAGAGCAGCACCAAACCAGCCATAGACACCCCATCTTTCACCAAGGAGAAACCAAGCAAAACCAGCACCCCACACCGGTTCCAATCCGTAAATAACAGCAGTTTCAGTGGCTGATATGTCACGCATTGCTGCCATCTGTTTTAATTTATAATTTATGAGTAATTTACATAAATGGTCCCTGTGATATAGTAGAAATTACAACTTTAGTCCAAACTTTGCATTTCGTTACATGGTATCATTTTGTTGTCAATTTAGTCCCGCTGTCTAACACCGTTCGAAATAAGACATGAAATTACATGTTTACCCTTATTTGTTATTATGTGATTATAATAAGAGTAAATTACAGTTTTGGTCCCTGTGGTTTGGTTAGATTGTCACTTTTAGTCCAACTTTTGAAAATCTGACAAGATGCATCCCTGTGGTTTAAAAAAACTACACTGCACATCCCTGGTCCATTTAAAAAGACCATTTAGAAATGTGTAACAGAAAAACACAAAGATAAAAGAAAGGGTAAAACGGTCTTTTTAAATGGACCAGGGATGTGTAGTGTAATGTTTTTAAACCTTAGGGATGCATTTTCTAACACCGTTCAAAATAAGACATGAAATTACAAGTTTACCCTTATTTGTTATTATATGATTATAATAAGAGTAAATTGCAGTTTTGGTCCCTGTGGTTTGGTTAGATTGTCACTTTTAGTCCAACTTTTGAAAATCTGACAAGATGCATCCATGTGGTTTAAAAAAACTACACTGCACATCTAAAAAGACCATTTAGAAATGTGTAACAGAAAAATACAAAGATAAAAGAAAGGGTAAAATGGTCTTTTTAAATGGACCAGGGATGTGTAGTGTAATGTTTTTAAACCTTAGGGATGCATTTTGTCAAATTTTCAAAAGTTGGAGTAAAAGTGAGAATCTGAATCTGACGAAACCACAGGGACCAAAACTGTAATTTACTCTTATTATAATCATCATCATACAATGGGTTTTTTTAGAAAATAAGACAAAAAAAAACAGGGGTAAAATCGTCATTTCACATGGCCTAGACAAAGAGACCAAACTCACATCAAAATAAAACCACGAGGATTACCCACGTAACAAAATGCAAAGCTGGACAAAAGTTGTAATGTCTACTATACTACAGGAACCATTTCTGTAACTTACTCAAAAATTTATTTCCAAGAAATTAAAATTTAAATTTAAATGTTACCTCTACCCACAAGCATAGGCCAGTTGAAAACACACCAGTGTATAAAGCAGGAATCCAAGGGAATTCCATAAACCATTTCAAGAACATTGTTAATGTCCATGATGATGGAAGATGATAATCTAAGCTACTACCATCATATTCCCCTCCAATTAAAAACCAGATAATAGATGAGAATGCAACCACACACACCTACAAAATAATAAATTTTATAAACTTTTTCTCATGAAAAGAAAAACAATATAGAATTTATGGTTTTTGAATTAACACACCTCGTATCCAAGAACAGGCAAGAAGTTTTCTTTGTCTGTTTTTCTTGATATATGCTCGGTTCTTAGCATGTGTATACCAAAGAATAATGCACTTAGAAAGTTAAATAAATCACCAATCTGAAAGATTTAGCAAAAGCTTTGTTTAATTGGTTATAAAAGTTAGGGTTAAATGTAAAAAAAGATGAAAGTATAATGTTGTAAACAAAAGAAATGAAAGTAGGATGCTGTCATACACAAATAAATGAAACTAGATTGCTAATTTCTTGCATTTAGACATAAAAGTTATGTGCTTGAATTCAGTATCATTATAAAAGCTTACACATGGAGATGATCCACTACATTCCAACATTCCAACTCCAATAATTGACATGAGAGCTCCAAACCAGGTGCGAGCAGGAATCACTGCTCCTAGCATACCATCAATCAATGGAACCACAATTACCTGATTTAGTCATATTATCATCATAGGATTCATATCAATAAATACACCATGTTTATTGTAAATTTGTAATAACAATTGTTTAATGGAAAATTTATATCATGATTCATGAGGTTCTTACAGTGAACATAGAAATGAAGGATGCTCGTCCAGCATCAGAAGTGAGAAGTCCAAGAGCTTGCATGAGGTAACCTAAACTCACCCAAAACCCTAATTCGATTCCTGAATTACGAATTTGTACATCTCCCCAAGATCTCCAAACAAATGGGAGAAATGGAATGGCAGAAACTGTAAATCTCACAACAGTGAATGCTGCAGGGTCCATGATTGCTTCAACCTCTTTCAGCACTGGTATGTCACTTGCTATAACAGTAAAAACAAATGAGTTAGACCTCAAAGTGAATCACTCTCATATATAGGGTTTAGAGTTTAGGGTTTAGTAATCATTATTTATATAGATCCTTATAGATACTCAAGGATGATGGTAGTCGATGAATTTCATCATGAAAAAATTGAATGTACAAGAGGCGGTTGCTAATCCCATAGCTGATGAGGAAGTTTTTATCAGATTCAGCAACAAATTGATCTACTGGTGAACATGATGAAGACTAAAAACAGTCCAGGTGATCGATGATCATCTCATGTCATGCTAAATGATTTAATAAAGGGATAAAGTGGGTATATAAAGCTTAGTATTCCAAATTGACCAAAAAGTGTAACAAAATATAATACTATAAAAGTAATTTTCAAAACCGAAAACAAATCTATCAAAGTAACAATCAATCCTACAGGAACAGGAACAACGCCTAATTTTATGTCGAAACTCTTTCTAAGAAGCTAAAAATCAAACCTGAATTTAGCAAATCTGGAGCAGGTAAAGTAGTAATTACGACGATACAATCGATTAATTTATCTTCTAATACTCTCAGATGTCAAAAAAAATCAAGAATAAACTTGAAAAATGATCGAGAAGTTGAGAAAGAAATTCAGATTTACCGTAAACTAAAGTAATGACGTTAAGCAAAATGATGCTCCGGACTTTCTTCGATGCAAAAAATATCCTACGCCATAACGCACGCTTTCCAAATAACGATTTGAAGTTCAGATTCGATATCGTCTTGAGTGATTGCTCCCTTTTACTAACAGAAGCATCGTCGTGGACTGAAATTTCTCCGATCTGAAGTTGTTTATCGGATTTCCTCGGTCTTCTTTTTGCATTATTAGGTCCGGCACTACAACACGACGGCGGAGGAGGATGATGATGATTGCGACGAAAGGCGAAAGAAGACCGCTGTCTGTGGGAGAAGATGAAAGGATAAACGGAAATTGAGGATGCATTGAAAGATGAGGATCCGATTAACGATGCTGATGAGTTCTGCTTTGGCCATCTCCATGATGATGGGGAAGCCATGATCGAGTTCGATCTTTTACTGGCCACGGTTCTTGTGTCTTCGTTTTTTCAATCGTGTATGAATGTGAAATGACCGCGTTGTCCTTGTCTTATTGAATTGTAATAATGTTTTCCGTTTTCTTAACACGTTTATATTGTTTCCAAAATATAAAGATCGCTGTTGACTTGTTATATATGAAAAACTATTTAAATTATTTAAAATATATTTTTTCAATTAGAAAAGTTTTATTAAAATTCAAAATATCACAACTTTGTTCTAAAGATATTATCATTATTTCTTATAAGTTGTTTTATCGGTTGAATACTTATTTTGGAATCATGTATGGCCAAAAGGTAGTTTTACATCCTATATAGACTAGTGATTAATATTATTCAAATATTGGCAAAAAGTTGTTCAAATTATTTAAAGTTTAAACACACTCATGAACTAAGAAAGTATAATCAAATGGTAAGATGCTAAAACTTTTGTTCACAAAATATTTATCGTTATCGTTTTAACCGTGAGTGGTTATGTGGCCAAATTAACATAGTTTTGCATCCTATGTCGATTGAATAAATGAAAAAGTACAAAAAAAGCATCATTGTTATTGTTATTTTCTTACTATTTTTAGCATAATAAAGTATTTGGCTTGTTTTCTATTAGGCTTTTGCTTTTGTTTAGTCGTTTAGCTAGGTTGACCTTAGATAAATTTCATATTTATAGAATTAATTTGTCTTTTATTTGTAGTTAAGTTTTCTTTCGATAATGAAAGTCTAGCCGTTTTCTATCTTACATGATATTAGAGATATATCCGATCAAATTTTATTTCTTTTGATTTGATTGTAAAAGACTTCGTATTTAGCACCTATTTCACAAATGAATTTGTTACTATTCAATGAAAAAAATCATGTCACTATTCATCGACCGATATTATTCGACAGGCTAATATACATCAACTTTGGTACTGTTCATTGTTCATTGGTATCTGATTTTCATAGATATCTCCTCGTATTCATTGTTGCTGTTAGCTAGTATTTTTTGTATCATTTTTGTTGTTATTTGATTGTCGGTTTGCTTTGATTATTGTCAATAGTCAATACGATGAAGAATGTTTCCCATCCCATACTCAATACGATGAAGAATATATATATATATATATATATATATAACTTATTTTTTAATATAGATTATCTTTGTCGAAAATAGGATGTTACCTGATAATGTGTTTTCAAAAGTGAAGATTAAGGAGTTGGATGGGCCATGCATGGTGCATAATAATAATAATTAGGTGTGACACGTGTGTACTACACAAGTTTTTTAAAAATAAAAGTTTAATATCAATGTATAAATATTAAATATTCTTTTTAAAAAAAAATACTTTTACATAAATGCGAACGATATAATGAATAAGTAAGTAATTCAATCTATACTAATAAAAACTATTGAGATATTTTAAATAATGATGTTGAAAATTAGAGTGTAAACATTAAATATTTTTTAAATTAACTTTCGAAATAAATACAAACGAAATGATGAATAAGTAGTTATTGAATCTATACTATTAAAAAATGTTATTGACATATTGTAAATAGTTGTTATGAATCAAAATTTTCATAACAAACGATTTCGTATTCATTTTCAGGGTTTCTTTTGGCGTTCCAAATTCATTTTGGTGTTCCAGATTCAGTTTCGATATTTTTTTTTGTTTTGTTTTTTTGGTTCAAGAAATGGTTTTAAATTTATAAGTGTGTTTTTTTATGTTTGTATGTATGTGTTCTTGGTGCCGTGGAGAGAGAGAGAGAGAGAGAGAGAGAGAGAGAGAGGTCATATGAACCAAGAGTGATTAGTCAAGGTCTATATGGAAAAGGGGTAACCGGGTTACCCCCTTCATTTTGTCCAAAGTCACAAAATCGACCTGGCAAAAACCACTTTGTTCCCTTAAAAGACATGAAAAAAAACTTTAGGGACTTAATGGGCAAAGTCGTAATACATAGTAGGGTCGTTGCGTCATTTTCCCAAACATTTAAACATAAAACCGTAATCATAAAGCTTAATGAGTTCACCAGAATACCACATAACTATATGGGTCCGACCCACAAACATAACAGGCCCCACCTAAGAGTGTAATGACCCGCCTCCAACTCACATAACGGGCCCCGCCCAACATGCATCACGGGCCCCACCTGTAACGCCCGCAGATCCGGGCTAGTCAATTTAGAGACAATAAGCATCAAAAATGAGTTTTTGATGGAAGATTATTTAGAAGAATTAATCTATTCCAAGTGGTAATATATGTTATAAGGGTTCCGTACATATAAAGAACGCTGAATACCGAGTTATAACGAAGAAGTTATGGACCGTCGAAGTTTTACGGCAAAACCGGCACGGCACCGGGAGACGTAAATAGTGAATTTACGATGGAGGATTTTTTAGCCTTAGAAATATAAACAAAAGTTGTAGTATACGTTAAACCGAGAGCGTACATAAAAAGAACGCCCAAATCTGACTTCGTATGAGGAAGTTATGAATTTTCTAAGATTCGGCATAGCAGTGCACGGCCCGAAACTCGAATTTTAGTTCGAGCGGTTTTTGGCCTACGCGACCTAAATGAGAATTGAAGATCTCATTAATAGGAACTCAACGGTAAAAAGACAGACGAAAACGGAGTCTGTATGTAGAAGTTAAGATTCTACGCGGACATTTAACAGTATAATCTCATTATACTGTTAAATTTAAGATCGGTCAAGAATTAGCCGATGGAGTCAAAATAAAAGTTGTAGATCTTATTTTTACCTACGCGTGGATATAAAGAACGTCGAAAACGGAAATCGTATGCGAAAGTTATGAATTTTTGAAAATCAGCTGATTTCCACCCTGTGTGCGATGCCACGTGTCAGCACCAGGCTCTGCCTTGGTGCCCAAGCTAGCTCACGACGTGAGCATCAAGAAACTCACGACGTGAGTGACCCTCCAGCACCCTATAAATAACAGGTGAGGCCTCCATTCTTCCTCACACCTCCCCTCACTTCTCTCTCTCTCTCTCTCTCTCTCTAGAACTTCTCTCTAGCCCCGAAACCCCCCGAAAAGCCTAGGGAACCTCCCTAGCACGAGGCGGAAGCCCCAGAGTGCCCGACGGCTCCGAGAAAAAGAGCCTTTTGGTTCGGAAATGCTGCTCCAAGCGAAGCCCGGTTTTCGAGAAAACCCGCTGTTTTGTCAAGGGAATATTGTTTTGAGATAACGAAGTGTTGTCCGAGTACCGAGTCACCACCTAATCAAGTGAGTTCATAATTACTTTCATCTTACACATAAATATGAAGTATTTTATATAAACTACGTGCTATGTGAGCATATTGTCTGAATGCTTGCTGTCTATGTTGGGTGAAAGATTTTTATACACGTTTTAAATGATTTAAACTGTATATGTATTTTATATCTACAATATGTGTTGGGTAAAACATGGGTAGATGAAATAGTTGTTGTGTGACAAAAATAAAATGATGAGTGATGATATAAACCGTGAGATAAGGGTGAGAGGTAAACCATGAGAGAAGCCTTTTACCCATGTGTTGGCCCCGTCATTCAGCAGAGTATGGATGACAACCACAGACTATTCAAGATAGCCCAGTGGACACTAGCAGGCTCGCAACCTGTAGGTGTTTTAAACTGTGTGCTCACCAGCTGTACTCTAAAAAAAACCCCCCTTGACATGTGTTGTGAGAGGAGTCTCGGAAACGACACTGTCGATAGACGAGATTAACCCTGGCGACTATGCAACGTAGTGCCTAAACCCCTTGACATGTGTTGTGAGAGGAGTCTCGGAATCGTTACTGTCGATAAAAGAGAAAAACCCTGACGACTATGAGACTTAGTGCCTATTGAGTAAACCATGACAACGATGGACTTCGTGTCGATTCCTTAGGATAATCCTTAGGAATGAATGAACGAGGAATAAATGATTCTTAGGGTAGATCCTTAAGAGTAAAGAAGATAATGGGGATGGGTAATTGGGTTGATTGTTTG